GGGGGGGGGGGGGGGGGGGGGGAGACCCAATAAGAGACAACTTTTTTTTCCCTGTAATCTGCAAGCCTAATCCTGCTCATCATCCGTATCGGGCGGGTGCGGCGTGCCCTTGGGGCTGTTGAGCCACTCAATGTGCCTGAGGCGGCGACGGGCCTCGCGCTCCTTGAGGTCCTTCTTGGTCATCTTCTTCTTCTTGCGGGCCTTGAACTTGAGGGGAGTGTCGTTGTCCTCGGCGCCGGAGGGGGCGGCCGAGCTGACAGCCGAGGAGGCAGCCGTGGAAGCGACGGTGCTGGGGACGGCCGAGGCTGGGGCCGAGGCGTCCTCGAAGCGGTCCGCCGAGATGGCCGCGTTGCCGCGCTGGGTGACACGTCCGTCGTTGACGTGCCACTGCTCCGAGCACAGGGCGCCGACGAACTCTTCGTTGTGAGAGATGAGTATCACGCCACCCTTGAAGTCGCGGATGGCCACGGCCAGACCGCCTAGGGAGTCGCGGTCCAGGAAGTTGGTCGGCTCGTCGAGCACCAGCAGATGGGGGTTGTTCCACATCGCTCCGGCGATGACGACCTTGACCTTCTGTCCACCGGACAGCGAGCCGATCTCGTTGTGGTTGGCAATCTCGGGGTCGAGACCGAGGTCGTTAAAGTGCTTCGAGATGACGGACGGCTGCAGCTCACGGTATCCGAGACCCTCGCGCGACGCCTCGTGATCATCAAACTCCTGGATCAGCTTCTCGAAGCCCCACTCCGTCAGCGTCTCACGGGACACCTGAGAGTTGTGCTTGGGCATGAGACCACGCCATTTACTATGTTTGTCATCAGTATCTCTGTGCGAACTTTTTTTTTTTTTTTTTCGAGACAGGAAAAGAATAAAGAAAATAAGGGGCCGGGAAGGGGTGGGGGGAAAGACATACACTTCGTATTGGAAAGTCTTCTTGTATTTCTGACGACCGACGACAGCCTCGACCTGGCGAGGCGATATGCCGTTGCCGAGGTCGATCCACTTGTCCATCTGCTCGCGGTCCTTGTCGGACAGGATACGCGTCTGCTTGAGGTGGACCTCACGGTCGTCGCCGTTCTCGTAGCGCCACTGGAGGTACTGGTTGGGCGTCTTCTCGAGGTGCATCTCCACGTGCTCGAGAGCGTGCTGCTTGATGTAGCCGATGCGCAGGTTGGGGTGCTTCTCGACCCTGCCGGTGGTGGGTATGACCTCGCCCGTGAGCATCTTGATGAGGGTCGACTTGCCGGCGCCGTTGGGGCCGATGATGGCGACGCGAGACGACAGGCTGAGCTGGCAGGAGACGTCCGACAGCGACGGCTTAGGCGCCTTGGGGTACGTGTACGAAGCGTTCGACATGCGGATGATGGCGCGCGTCTGCGACTTGATGCCCGTCAGGATGCCGGGAGGGGGAAACTTGAACTGGGCATTGGCCGCGGACAGGGTGTAGTAGCTCTTGGCCTCGGGGCGGACCTCGACAAACTTGGACAGGTTGCCCTTGTAGCACGCGAGCTTCTTGTTAGCCTCGTAGTGGTAGATGTCCGTCGTGACGTTGTCCAGGAAGCCGGAGTCGTGGGACACGATCAGGCTGGTGATGTCGGTGTGCGCCTTGAGGTAGTTCTCCAGCCAAGCCACGTTGGCAACGTCCAGGTGGTTGGTAGGCTCGTCCAGCAGGAGGACGTCGGCGCGCTGGAGCATGGCGCGGGCCAGGGCCAGCTTCATCTTCCATCCGCCGGACAGGGAGCCGACGGGCTGGGCCTGGCGACCCTCGGGGCCGGTGGTGAAGCCGAACTCGTCCAGGACGGCCGAGATGCGCTCCGCGCCCTGCTCCGCGATGGTGGGGTCCTTGGACACGAACTCGAGGATGCTGATGTCGGCGTCCTCGCCCTGGTTGTGCTCGACGTAGCAGGTGCGCAGGACGTCCTGGGGAGGGAAGCCCTCGAGCTTGCCGTTGGCGATGCTGCGCATCAGCGTCGACTTTCCGGCACCGTTGCGGCCGCAGAGACCGTAGCGGTGACCCTTGAGCAGGCGCAGGTTGGCGTGGGACAGAAGAAGCCTGCCGCCGTAAGCCAGGGAGAAGTCGGCGTTGACGATCTCGACCTCGCCGTCGTCTTCCTTCTCGGGGACGCCGTACCGGCGCTCGTCCTCGGCGACGTAGAAGGCCTGGACGGCGTCGCCGACCTGCTGTGCGGCCCCGGGGGTCTCGAGGAAGGCACCGAGGTAGGGGCCGACGCGGGCGCCGATCCGGGTGACGAAGCGGAAGTTGGCGTCAATGGCCACCATGTCGCAGACGTAGGGGCGGGCGGCAGCATAGGTGTCAGCCAGGGCACCCCGGGCCTGGGCGGCGGGGGAGAGGCCACCGGCCTTGGCGATCTCGGCCTCGAGGACCTTGGCGACATCCTCGCGGGAGGTGCGGGCGACGATGTCCTGGTCGTTGCCCATGGCCTTCTCCATGACGGCGAGGGCGGACTCGGCCATGCCACGGACCTCGGGCAGGGACGCCCGGTCGCAGACGCCCTTGACACCGGGGATGAGCTTGGGCAGGAAGGTACGGGCCTCGATGGGGTCGTGGACGAGCTTGGTCAGGTTCTCGACGATGACGACGGTCTGGCGGAGGACCTCCTGGGCCGTGGTCGGGGTGTTGAGGGTGCGCTCGAGGAAGGGGGTGAGGAGGGCGAGGACCGGGGAGGTGACGATGGCGACAAAGGTGGTCTGGGACAGGGCGTGTATGGCCTTCTGCAGGGTCTGGGTGGAGGGGTGCTGCATGGTGTCGATGAGGAGGGGGATGCGGGGGGCGACGTCGTCGTTGGACAGGAGGGTGGTGAGGGAGGTCATGGTCTGGACCGACTGCTTCTCGACCTCGGTCTTGAGGTCGTGCATCCCGTTCTCGACGATGGGGATGAGGCTGGCGAGGCGGGCACCCATGGACTCGCGGAGGAGGTCCTTCTCGGCGGCCTCCTCCTTGGTGCCACCGATGGCGACCTGGGACTTGTCGGCCATGCGCTGGAGCAGCTTGAGGGCGCCGACGGTGCCCTGCCACTTGTTGGCCTTGCGTGAGAGGTACTCGATCAGGGCGGGCAGCAGGCCGGCCACCAGGGCCTCGGCGGCGAGGTTGCCGAAGAGGGCGTCGATGCCGTACTGGGCCGACTCGCGCACCGCGGTGCCCTTGTCCGACAGAGAGTCGAGAGCGCAGGCCACCATGCCGCCGTCGCGGACGAGGACGACGACCTCGCCGAGGCGGTCACGCGGCGGGAACCTCTCAAAGATGGCTCCCAGAAGGTTCTGGCTGCACTCCCTCCTGGTGGCACTCTTCTTGTCGCCGGCGGCCTTCCTGATCTCGGCCAGGACACCGTACTGGTACAGGCCGGCGGATCCGGTCGAGTTGAGGAGCAGCTCGCACAGACCGTAGCTGGCATCGACAGAGGCAGACGACGTGGAAGCCGTGAATATAGTGTTGAGCAGCGACGAAACCACTTCTTGCGAGGGAGGCTCGGCCCCGTAGGACGGCGGGGTCACAGGGTGAGGCATCGTAGGACGGTGGGGGCGGGGCACTGATCTCTGTCTCTGTCTCTCTCTCTCTCTCTCTGTTTTCGTCTCTTCTGTTATGAATTTCCGTTTGAAAGTTTTCTGTTGTTTTTAGGGGAATGGAGAGGGAGATAGTATCGCAGAGCCTGCCGCGAAGAAGGAGGGAAAGGAAAGAGATCACTTGCCGTCCACTCAAGACTGGCTGCGATGTTGCGAGAGGAAAGGGAGAGGAAAGAAGAAAAAAAAAAAAAAAAGTTGGGCAGTGCTGGTAATACGGTTCACTACTGGCGGTGGCTCTGATAGTGGCTGACACCCCTCCATTAAATTTTTTTCCCTCTTCTGCCCCCCCCCCCCCCCCCCCCCCCCCCAATGGACGAACGGCTCTGCTCGGCATGGAAATTTTTCAACTGCTTTTTTTTTTTTTTTTTTTTTTTTGCCGTTCATTTTCCCTCCTTGCTGCTTATCGGTCATCCTTATCTCTACGGGTGGATGGGGACCCTTTTGTTGGAACTCTTTTTTTTTAGGGGATATAGGGGATCGACCAACCACCAATACTTGGCTCTGGTCCCCTGAGAGATTTACGTAGTAAGTCCATTTTTCCCTACCAATCGTCCATCTCGTCTACACACGTGCCATCTACGGAGTAGGCTCTTGACCTGACGCCACCAGGAACAAGTTCGACTCACCAAACTCTGAATCATCATCGAGCCATCCACGTCAAATAAGCCAGGAATGCCGTCGGCTAAGGGGAATGAATACCTACGATTATATCAAGGAGGACACATTGGTCTATGTATATATGGACTGATAATATATAACAAACACGGCCCAGATCAGCCAGCTCACCAGAAGGGTATAGAAATAAGCACAGCGAGATGGGAAATAGTGAAACCTGCCACCACGCATTCGCTGTAACATAAGATGCGGTCTGATATCGCGGTCGAGACTGCCTTGTTCGCTCGGGTGGGAAGACAAAAAAAAAAGGGGGTAGAGAACAGGTAGACATCAGGATAATGATAAGAAAGAGAGACGTGCATGATAAGAAGAGGGGGGGGGGCGCCTGAACCCGGTATACACTATATACTACACCATCATGAAATATGAGGAGATGGATGGGGGAGGGAGGGAGACGAGGCCAGGAGGCCTTCATTGGTAGTGATTCGACTCCTGCCTCAGGGTCATGGGACCCTGAAACTGCTGGTTGCTCTGCTGCGTGGTGTTGACGCTGTGCATTTCCATGCCCTGGGCACCCTCCTTGGACCTCTGGCTGCGGTGGGTGAGGCCCAGCCTCTGGTCACCGAGGTGGTACCTGCTCTTGAAGCGATAGTAGGTGGGGGAACGGGGCCTGCAGAGGACGGCGAGGATGTTCCTCCAGACGCTCTTCTGCGAGTAGGCTCTGAAGCGCTCGCCCTTGGCGAACTTGTGCGAGTTCATGTACTCGCGCGTCGTCTCGCCGCGGGACATGAGGAAGACGTGGTACCCCGTCAGGGCGGCGGGGTACAGCAGGCACAGGGCCGAGAGGATGATGAGCGCCAGCGGCGCGTTGAAGTGCTCGACGGCCTCTCCGAAGGACACGTCCTCGCGGCTGGCGTAGACGAGCAGCTGCACCAGGCCGGTGGCCATGGCGTACAGGGACAGGGCCGTGGCCGAGGCGACGAAGGCGAAGAAGTAGCGGTAGTTGCGCTTCCCGACGCAGTTGTTGATCCACACGCAGTGGTGGTCGTGCGTCTCGACGCAGTTGTCGCACATCCGGCAGTGGTGCGCGCGCGGCGGGCGCCAGATGTTGCACGTCCTACAGTGCTTCACCGGCACCTCCATGGCCGCCGTGCGCGACTCGGCAGACTTGACGAGTGTCCAGTCGTTGGTGGCCGGGCCGATCTGCAGCGGGTCGTCGTCGCTGATGGGTGGGAAGTGGTGGAGGTTTCGCGGCAGGATCTGTGCTCCAGGTTAGCCATGGGGAGGGGTCACCCAAAAAAAAAAAAAAAAAAAAAAAAAAAAAAAAAAAAAGGGGGGGGGGGGGGGGGGGNGGGGGGGGGAGGAGAGGGGCGCATACCCCAGGATCCGACACGGAGGCGTGGATAAAGGATGAGGCGCAGACGTAGGCCAGGTAGGCAAAGACGATGGGAATGGCAGGCGAGACGTTGCGCCACAGCCAGGGTGCCGACCCGCCAAAGAACAGGACGCACGGCACCAGGATAGCCAGCCCCGTGGCGATGTTGATAGGCCGTCCTCGGGTGTTCTGCCACCTTCCACCGAGGAAGAAGCGCGTGTTTCCGTCAAAGTACTCCCACACGCTCGCCTTGCCGATGCCCCGGTCCGCGCCGGAGCTCGACCCACCCGCCAGCGTGGTGGGATGCCGGTCCGGCGTTCCCAGCGTGCCGGAGCGGCCTCTCATCTCGGGCGACGACGCGCCGGACGACAGCTTCTCGGCACGGCCGGAGCCCGTATCCCTGCCCGACAGGAGGAAGCCCGAACGCAGCGAGCGGGGGGACTTGACGGGGCTGGGGATCCCGTTCCTCCCAAAGTCGCGGTAGCTCGTGTCGACGTCGACGCGGAGGTTGTGCTGGTTGCCCCCTCCGTCCGAGTTCTTGTGCAGGGGGCGGACGCTGTCGGCCTGGCTGCCCCCGGCGGCGTAGTTGCCCGTGGGGCTGGTGTTGAAGGTGAAGCGGTCCTGCTCGTTAGTGGCGTCAGTGCCCCTCGACGGAGGCTGCTGCTGCTGCTGCTGCTGGCCGGCATCGCCCTCGCCGAGCTGCGGGTTCGACGACAGGCTGTGACGGATCATGGGGCCGGGACCGCCGATGTCGGTGGCACCGTCGTCGAGGCTGATGTTGAGAGGCTCGGTGGGCGGGCGCGACATGGTGGGCGGCCGGTTGGTCCCGCGGTGGGCCTGCAGCTGCTGCGAGCTCATGGGGCGGAAGAAGGCGTTGGATGTCAGCGAGGGGACGTGGCTGCGGCTCGAGAGGTTGCGGGTTCGCGTGGCGGGCTCGACCTGGACGGGCACGGCGGCTCCGGCGGACCCGCCCTCGAGGGCTGCCGCCGCGGCCCTGCGTGACTTGGACCTCGACGACCCTGCAGTCTTGGTCGACTCGGCTCTGCTCTTTCTGCTGGCGCTCGTCCTGGGCCGGTGCGGCGTGTCCTCGACGCCGCCTTCGCCACTCAGCCTTGATGATATCACGCTCGCTGCTGTGGGGGCTCGTGGGATCGGGAAACCGTGCGAGGACTCTTCGCCATCCGCCGTCGGCGCTGGTTGTGCACCGCCATACTCCATGGCTGAGAGGTGGGAGGTGGGATGTGCTGTCGCTTTGTGCGTGTATCCGTGTGTGCGTGTGTGTGTCCGTGTGTGCGCACGTATGCGTGTGTTCGATTTGCTGTTGCTGCCGTGTAACCGGTCTACTGCATCGCCTTTGGCCGGTGTGGGGTGATAACGTGACTCGACGTGGTTCTGTGGTGGATGTAACGCGTAGAGTCGGGGGAGGGAACAGAAACCTTGTTTGGGATCGTTGCGGTTCTGGCTGTATCGTGTGCGGCTGTGGAGAGAGGTTCCGAGCTTAGGAATGGATGCGTATGAAGCTATTAAGAGCGAGAGAGCTTCAAGTCGGTAGGGAGCGTGGGTGGTCGGGCGGGATTAGAGAAGGTAGCAGCAGGGACGAATCAGAAGAACAGGAGAAAGAAAGAAGAAAGAAGAAGGCTTGGGCGAATCTAAATCAAGGGAGAGAGAGGCTGAGCCTGAGAGAGCGTGGACTGCCAACCTACGGCAGGTAAAGGAGAGAGAGAGAGGAGAGGTTGGACGGATGCAGATGGCTGGCTGATGCTGGTGTTGTTTTTTTTTCCTTTTTTTTTTTCCTTTTTTTTCCTTTTCCTTCTTTCCTGACGCTTTATTCCATAATAGCAGCTAATAATGATAAGTGCTAGCACACGTAGTAAGGCAAAGACTCATATGGGGGCCTCCTGGACGTGGTCATTTGGTTTGCGACGCACAGACCATCTTTCCTCTCCCTCTACTAGTAGGCTCTAGGCCTAAACAGAGCAGAGTACGATGCACAGAGGACAGAGTATTATTACGAGTAATATAAACGTATAGGCTACTCCGTACCAACACGCACCACCTGTAAGGGGCCGCCCCGCCCTGCTCCCGTGCATCTGGCTGCTCTGACCACTCAGGCTGTCGATAGACTGTAGATTGCGGTCGGTCGGGTTAGCCGTGGACCCGTGACATCGCCCATGGACCTTCACACCACTCTATCCAGCTGCCGACATGTTTTAATATTACGTCGTGTGCACAAGCACTTTGCGCTGGCATTTCCATCCATGTCATAACAATACACCGGCCGTCCTTTGGCCCAAGTATTATTATGACTACATATAATAATAACAAGTCGTCGGCTGTGCGCCCGCAGCCTTGTGCTCGTGATTAATATATGTACTTGTATGCTGGTGGAAATTACCACAGCGTCGTGCCGTTATGCACTAGCCGTGAATAGTCAACACCATCATCACCATCACCGATTTACCACCAGTTTCTCATCAGAGTACCGAGTATCGATACTCCGTAGACTGTGGCACAGATTATCATCACATCATCACAGGTTCTATAGAGGTTCGAGCTCAAGCGTCGAGTAATGTTAATGTTACCCGTGCACCCGTTGGGCCGTTATATCCGTATCACTCGCGATGCCGAGGCGATCTCGACGTCATGTGACTATGATTGAGGAGAGAATTGAAAAAAAGACCCGATGACATAATCATCTGCACGTGATCTGAAACCCAGCCCAACTCCCCGAGCCTCCCCGAGAGCATTGACCAATAGCGTGCATGTTTTTGAGATCATACGACGAGTCTCCGTTGCCCAGAGCAGCTTTTCGCTGAACCTCCCTCGCTCTTTCTCGACGTCGACCACTTCTTCCCTCCCACCCACAACGAGCCGAAACCCTGACCACATCAACATTTCCACGATGGCGTCCCGCATCATCTCCCGCCGCATGTTCTCCACCTCCATCCGTCGCTTCCAGGATGCTGAGAAGCAGAAGCTCAAGACGGAGAGCAAGCGCAACCCCGAGACCATAGTGCGTCATATCCACCGCCGTCCTCCTCTGCCCCGAATCGGCACAGCGCAACACAAACGAGTCTTCCCGGGTGGAAAAGCTGCCTGGGGCACTGCACGGATTGAGGGAGAGATATGCTGACTGAGATTTTCTTCACCTTAGATCCTCGGTGGTGTCATGGTTGCTGCCCTCGGCGGCGCCGGCTTCTACTTTGGTATGCCATTTCTTCTTCTTCTTCTCCTGCCCACAATCCATATCGTCACCTTCTACACCTCCTGTGCATGCGGACAACAGCTGAGGAGAAAACTGACCGGGACAAAAATATCAAACAGGCTCTTCTCCCACCTCCTCCACCTCCGAGGAGCACGTCAACATCGCCAAGGACGGTATGCCCTGGGAGGGCGACGGCACCGGCAAGTACCAGTACCACCCCGGTGGCGACTCGACCCAGAATCCCCGCGATGCTCCCAGCGCCCTCAACTCGGTCGTCGTCCCCAACGTCACCCTCCCCCGTGAGGCTCACGATAAGTTTAACAAGTGGGGCAAGGAGGGATTTCCTTGAAAATAAACATAAAATCCTCCTGTCTTGGTTCTGTCCCTGCCTTGTCTAGTCTTAAAATTAAGAGAGCAACTTCTTATCTGAAAAGGAAAATCAATCAGGAGAAAGCAAAAGAAAAGAGGTAGGGGAGAGATCACCTGTCATTTTTTTTCCCTTAAAAACACACGCTCTTGTATAGATATCACATTCTTACTCTTCCTTTGCTGGTGTGATTTCCAACGTCCCCTCCCTAAACCCCCTCATCACGCATACAACGTCACTTCTGTTCTGTCTTGATACCGTTTCAGGTATCGGGAGAGAGAGAGCGAGAGAGCGAGCGAGAGAGAGGCGGGAGATGTATCCTATGCAAATCGGTGACCATGTGTCTTATCTGGGGGGAGGATATACAAGTGTACAAGTTTCTCGTAAGAGCGTAGGAGACGAAAGGGGATTCATATTTCATGTACTCATGTCAAGATATAATCCGAGGAGTATAAAAAAAAAAAAAGGGGGGGGGGGGGGGGGG